AAAATTGAATCTCTTAATGGAAGAACAAAGAGTCTTATTAAATATAACAATGACTACTTGTTCTAATGTATTTGTTTGTAATATATACAACTTAAATAACTTTTATAGTATATTATTAATTTTAAATTATATATTTAATAATATAATATCTATGTAGATATTACATATGTTATTTTGTGATATCAATTACAAGCATATTATATATGTACATATTATTTATATTTTTAATTTGTATTAATATATAGTTTAACATGTAATTTTTTTAATGTATTTTTTTACAAAATAAAAATAAAAATAATTTTAAATAAGATATAAAAATTGAAATTTAAAATAAGATATGAATTTATTAAAATTTATAAGTATAAAATATATCTAACATAAATATTTTTTAAAAAATAATAAAAAATGAGTCATGCGGTTCAACTAGTGACCTACTGGTTCAATCTTTAACCCACTGATCCATTACTTTAACCGGTTTTTAAAACTATGGTTAGAAGCATGAAGACCTAAGTTCAATTCTTATTGCAACTATATTTGTAATCTTTCCTATCTTAAAAAAAAAAAAACTAAAATATTAATTATATATTAAAACTTAAAAGAAATAAATAAAATGGAACTCTACTTGTAAACAAAATTGAAAGAAACCACCCTAGTTTCAGTCCAATTTTCTCAATTTAATTTCCTCTTCTCACTGGAGTTCTAGAATCTTCGGAAGGACCTTTCTTTCATCTTTGGCAAATATCAATCGCTGTAAAGTTTTGAAGACCAAATCGCCCTTTGAGCATTGAATCCCGTTGGTAAGCATTTTTTCTTCTTCTTTTAAGGCACTTACGCTTAAGCTTAGTTCTTCAATTGGCTGTAAGTATTTTATTGTATTATTATTAAATTTGTGCGTGGCATTACCCTAATAGAGAATATAGAGACTGAATTCAATTTCATTTTACTAAATATCAGTGTGTGCTTACTGAAAACTGCAGGAGATTGCTTGCAACCAAAAATTGAAGCAATGAATCAATGGTTTTGTGTTATTTAATTTTAATGAATAGGTTTCGTGGGGGGGGGGGGGGGGGGGTACGTGGCATTTGTGCAAATATGGATTGAAAATTGAAAATTGTGAAAGCAAAGGGGAAGTGCTGCAATCTGTTTCTTTATTCCTTTTTTACGGTGTGCATGTTGTGAGTGTGGATCAGTCAACCCTATGTGCTTTATAACCAAAATATAGAGATTTAAGCATGGTTGTTTACCAGTGATGCATTGTTCCGGAAAGTGTTTTATCTTCTCCTTTGGTTTTGGTTATGCTTTTTACCTTTGAGGGAATTGGTGCTTTCTATGAACCCTATACAGTCGAAGCAAAACTTTGGTCAATTTTCTAGGATTTGCCTCCTTGGGAAAGTGATTTATTTTTTCCCTATTGGTGGTTATTTTTAGTGCCTGAAAAGTTAAAAACAGAGAAATTTAAAATTAAAATTTGAAAAACTTAGTCTTAGTTTTGAATATGGAATATAGAAGCCATTTCTTTTTAAAATTTTGTTGTGTCCAATTGGCATTCATTTTCAGTACACAAGACCTAATTGCCTTGCATTTTCAATTGCTTAAAATCAAAACTCTCTTGATTAGTATTGAATGGATATTCTCTAATAGAATGCCTTCTGCCTATATCATTTGCATGTGGATTAGTAGTTCAGAAGGCATGGTTGACCGTAGCCTATAAAATGGATTTCAATGACAGCAGTTCAAATGCCTGGCAGAAGAACTCTTCAGAGGGTTCACATGTTGCCATCAAAGAGAGTTCTACTGAGAAAGATGTCTTTGTAAACCATGGTATGTGCTTCTGTTACATTTTTTCTTTCTTTCAAATATAGTAGCGAAAAGAAGAGCTGACATGTGTTAACATGCAAAATCTCTCGTGTGGTATCAATTATTCAAGTGTTTTGTAAGTGTATATATAATGCTGATTTTCTAAGAAATACTCATAACTAGTATTGAAATATTGATCTTAGAAAGCTTGTTTACAAGACTTGCATATTATTTTTTAACTTTAAATTAATATATTTGGCATATCTTGAATGTTTTATTGGAAGAATTTTAAAAAGTCCCTAAATGCTGTCTTGTTTACCCAGTTTCTTGTGAATGTTATACTTTCTTAGCATGATATTACTTGTTTGAGGTAAACGTGAAAATTGATTTAGTTACATAATTGCTTGTGTATTTTTATCAATCACTATGGTGTAGGATTCAAATTTACAAACTAAGAAATATGCATGCAAAATATCTATATAATTGATTTAGATAGATGTCACCAAATATCTCGGGAACCTGTTTGACAAAATATTTCAGGTCCTAATTTATGTTGTTCTTGAATGTTAATGTTACTTTTGAGAATTTTTTTACTGATTGATTTCTTCGAGCATCAAATGTTTTTCACTCTAGTGGCCCTATTGTTAGAAGATCTCAAGTAGATTTTATGTTCTTTTGCAGCTGAGATAGCTTGGCAGCAAATGAGGAAAGAATGGGTTGGTAATCGGTCTAAAAAGCGGGAGAGACCACCTAAAGATTCAATTTTGAGGTATAAGCCTACTTCTGATTTCATATTGTTGGTATAGTTGGGATGAAAAATGGAGGAGGATGCTTAGTTAAATGGTACAATATTAAACTTTTTAATGATTTAATTGGGATCCACAGTATAAAGACTTCTACAGAATCTACACTATAAACCATGTGGTGCCACCTGACTCGTTTTAAAACAGTTTGAAAATATTTACTGATAGTTAAATGTTAGAGTTAACCCAATGATATGACACTATTTTGTTTACTGATATTAGATTGGTTTGCTACACTGAGTTTCTCAGTGTCTAGCTAAATTTAAATTTTGAAGATTGAATCATACATGTTACACTATTGACATCACTGAATTTCTTGGTTGAAAGGAAATGTGTACAACGGGTGGAAGGAGGGTGGAGGGCGACTGCTTTTTTTTTTTTTTTTTTAATTGGATTTGAGAAGGGTAGAGCTTAGTTTTTTTTCCCTCTTGTTTAAAGTTTTCCAATAAATAATGAGATAGAAAAGAATGTTTAATTGAAGTTGTTAACAACTTCATCTTCATTAGAACCCCATTTCTTGTAAACGTGTAAGATTATTCCATCAGCTTGGGCAACCGTGCACTAAGAAAATTTGATCCAAAAAATGCTTAAGGTCAGAAGTAAAAATACCGAGAAATTTGTTGTTGAATAAAATAATAGATTAATTATATGAAGTGCAAATGGAGTGGGTCACAAAGACATTATCATGGATTTGCTTGCCAGCAATTGATTGTGTTAGTGCCCTCCTGAAATAGACAGCTCTTATTAAGTTGTTTACTGAATATCTATTTTGATTACAAAGTTACAAAATTCAATAAAATCATAACATATTTCAGTATCCCTGTTAGTCTGTGGTTACCCACGCTGACAAAAGCTTCGTTTATTCAATTTGTTCTCTATCTAGTTTATAATCGGTTCTTTCGAACTGCTAAGGTTTACCATATGAACTTATTAATTTATTTTTATTTCATTTACAAAAATAACGAGTAATGATCCATTGCAAATTGAATCCTCAATTGGATGAATGGGGAAATAAGTTAACCATAGCTCTATGGACAAGGAATAAGCATTTTCACGTGCTAGATGTTGAGCTTTTGAACCCATAATGGGTAGATAACTAATTATTGTGAGTTGTGGGAAGACTGGCAACCACCTCCATTACTTTGTTGAATGTCAACATGTAACAGAAATATAGACACCAAGTAGATAAAACAAATGTCTAGAAGTTTTGCAGCAAATTTCTTGGTTTGTGATTTTATTACATGTTTTCACAAATGAAACTGAAGTCCTTTTACCATTTCTCTGTATATGCACAACACATGAATATATTGTCATCAACTGTGAATATTAAGAGTGAAACTTTTATAAACTATATATACATGTGTAATGCATATTTCATTTCATTAAATGTAACCAATAATCCGTTGGTCTTGTGGCCAATGGTATCAGCTTCTTCTTTTTATACAGCGGTGGTCCTAAAATGCACCTTTGTAGTTTCGGCCTTGTAATGTATCCTCGTATGGTTTTTCTGTATGCATCCTAATAGTGTTCGTGAAACCCTATATATCCATGTTAAGTTTGTCAACAATAACTAAACATCTTTTGCAGCTTGACAACAAATTATGAGGACCTGCTTTTATCTACAGAACCTTTTCAACAACGAATACCATTAACTGTAAGTTCCTTATGATACACAGGCTTTGTTACCGAATTTGGGGATAACATATATGAGAAAAATTGAATGATGGGTTATGCTCATGCAGGAGATGGTGGAATTTTTTGTGAAATTATGGCATGAGGAAGGTCTCTGATTAGATGACATATAATTCTATTGTAAGCTTTGGTAAGAATCTTGCACAGTTTTGTTTGTGCCGATTGTTGTTGAGGCAAACTCGTTTGGTGGACAATCCATTACCATTAGGATTGATTAAATCAAGTAAAGTTGATTCTCCTGGTAACAAAAAATAGCTTCATTGCAATTTAAATTTGAAATGACTTAAGATTTGGTAATCATATTGTGGCTGTTGCTGCTGCTAAGAATTCGTCCTTCTAATGAAAAACTTTGTCGAACGGATTCTTAATGTTATTTTGTGGACAATCTAAACGTGTTGATTCTCTCACGTTCACTAGTTGTTTGAAAAAGAGGTTTTCAAATTATACAAATGGTTTGATAGTTATGATTAACCACTAGACACTAGTCATGTAAAAATGGTGGTAAAGATGCGTTTGGAGAGAAACCAGGAGGTTATACTCCTAAATCGTTTTAAAACATGTTTTTGTAAGATATTTTTACGATTTACACCTGCACTTCTACTTAAGTGAGTCAAATCTTTTGATGAATAGATTCAATAGTGTAGAGTTTCTTGATTATGCTTATTGTTTCTATTACGGGGATTCATTTTGTTGCTTTTGTTTTGTATTGTTTTTGTTGCTTTTATTTCGTATTGTTTGAGAGAAATAGATTGGGAGTTGATTTGATAAAATAACAGGAAATTGGGATATACACGTAGAAAAAAGGCTTGATGATTATGACTTAGGATGATCTTGAGTGTGTTTGGCAACTTATTTTAGTAGCTTGTATTATTTTTAAGCAAAATAATCCTTATTTTAGTAGTATGGATTATTATTATTTTAAATCAATTCTTATATATTAAACATAAATGTATTTAATTATTATGTGAGAACTTTATTAAAGATATTTTTTTTTTCATTAAGAAATTTTTTAAGAATTTATTTAATTTTTGTTTATCTAATTTAGTTTTTAATTATTATAATTATTGTGAATTAAATTTTAATATTTTAAAATAAATTATCGATAAGTAAAAGTAATATTATTATAATATGAATTGTTTATCATTAATCTAAATATAATTTATATATTTAAAAATATCTATTTATATAAATTTTAAATATAATTTATATATTTAAATATAATATTTGTTTATATATAATAAACATTTATCTTGTATATTATACTTACTAAAATATTAGTTTTGTATTAAATAACATTTTAGCTTTTCATTTTCTAAATGAATATTTTTTTATCGTTATTTCATTTTTTAATAGTATCTTGTTTATTCATTTATTTTCAGAAATCTAATCTCCACTCACATTTCATGCCACCATAGTAGACCAAAAAAACAATTATGTCTAATATGGTTTAGTATAATTTATGGAAAACTATGCTTTAAGTATTTAATTCCAAGTCTCTCGGTATGAAAAACATCTATTAAAAGATGAATTTTTGCTTTTTGAGAAATTTATATTTGAATATGGGCTGGAAGATATTTAAGCAATGAAATAAAAAAAATTAAAAAAATGTTTTATTTTTAAAGAATAAAATATTATTAATTAAATTTAAAAAGGTGTTTATTCAAAATTGATTTTTAAAATAGCAAATTTTTAATCAAGTTTATTTCTTTTAAAAGCTGATTTTTTTAAAATAGTTCAGATAAACACATTAAAAATATAGAAAATTATTTATTTTATTAAAAGATATTTTTAAAGTAAAAAGTTATAATAAAAAATTAAATCCTATATATTAAACCATTCTATGTAAAAATATTTTTAGGAGTCATTTTTCAATGAAAGAATTTTTAAGATTTTTTTAATTAATTTAATTTTTATTTATTTATCATATGTAGTTATGAATTAAAATTTTAATATTTTAAAAATAAATTATCAATAATTAAACTTAATTATATGTTATAATATAAATTATTTTTTAAATAAAAAATATAATTTATATATTTAAAATATAGATTCATATAAATTTTAAATATATAAATATATTTAAATATGATATTTATTTATATGTATAGTTTATTATAAAATTTATTTATATATGATAAATATTCAGTGTATGAAATGTATAAAATAAAATACTAATTATTATAATATAAAATAAAAAGTTTACATGTTAGCACTTAGTAATCACTAATCAGTAGTATTACACAACAAGTAATAACTGGTGTTTTCTTTTCACTTTGCACCATTTCTATTTTCTGTAATGAAGATTCATCTGTTGAGTAGCAAAGGCAAAGCATGCAGTTACGATAAGACGAAGAAGCATGTACATTATTAGGAAGAACAAGAAATGGATGTGTTGAAAGCAGTGTTAGCATCATGCAAAACCATTCACCAAGCCCTTCAAATCCACGCCCACGTGGTGGTCTCAGGCCGCCACGACGACCCATTCCTCATAACCACCCTCATCTCCCTCCTCGCCACCGCCTCCTCCGCCGGCCTCCGCCACTCCCACCGTCTCTTCTCCCAAGTCCCCAACCCCGACCTCTTCCTCTTCAACGCTATGATCAGAGCCTTCTCTCTCTCCCACACTCCCCACTGCGCTCTCTCTCTCTACAAATCAATGCTCTCCGCTTCCCCACCCATCTCCCCCAACGCCTTCACCTTCCCCTTTCTCCTCAAGTCCTGCGCCACCTCGTCCACCCCCAAACACGCCCTTCAGCTCCAAACGCACGTTTTGAAAAGTGGGTTTGCCTCGGATGTCTTCGTTGTCAACGCTCTCCTGCATTTGCACTTCGTTTTTCGGGATGCCCTTAGTGCGGCCAAGGTGTTCGACGAAAGTCCCGTTAGAGACTGCGTTTCTTATAACACGATGATTCGTGGGTTTGCACGTGTGGGTCGTGCGGGTTGTTCAATGAGGGTTTTTGGGGAGATGAGAGGGCTTTGTGTTGAGCCTGACGAGTATACCCTTGTGGCCTTGTTGTCTGCGTGTTCCTTGCTTCAGGATCATGGGACTGGGAGAGTGGTGCATGGGTTGTTGTATCGGAAATTGGGTTGCTTTGGTGGCAATGGGTTGTTGGTGAATGCGCTTGTTGATATGTACGCGAAATGTGGGTGCTTGGAGGTGGCTGAGAGGGTTGTGAGTGGGAATGGGAAGAGTGGCATTGCGGCTTGGACTTCTTTGGTGAGTGCATATGCTTTGCGTGGGGATGTTGAGGTTGCTAGGAGGTTGTTTGATCAAATGGGTGAGAGAGATGTGGTTTCTTTGACGGCTATGATTAGTGGATATTGTCATGCTGGGTGTTTTCAGGAAGCATTGGAACTGTTTGAGCAGTTGGAGGGTTTGGGGATGGAACCGGACGAGGTAGCTGTGGTTGCGGCTCTTTCGGCGTGTGCGGGGCTGGGTGCCCTTGAGTTGGGAAGAAGGATTCACCATAAGTATGGTGGTGAGAGTTGGCAGTGTGGTCATCATAGGGGATTCACTTGTGCTGTTGTGGACATGTATGCCAAATGTGGAAACATTGACACTGCTTTGGATGTGTTCTATAAAACAAGTGATGATATGAAAACTACTTTTCTCTATAACTCCATCATGTCTGGCCTTGCTCATCATGGCCGTGGTGAGCATGCTATGGCTTTGTTTGAAGAAATGAGGTTGCTAGGATTAGTGCCGGATGGGGTCACATTCGTATCACTTTTATGTGCTTGTGGGCACAGTGGTTTGGTTGATGATGGCAAGAGGCTGTTTGAGTCCATGTTGAGTGTTTACGATGTGAGTCCTCAAATGGAGCATTATGGCTGCATTGTTGATCTTCTTGGTAGGGCTGGACGTTTGAATGAAGCATATTGTTTGATTCAGAATATGCCGTTCAAGGCCAATGCTGTGATATGGAGAGCACTGTTGAGTGCTTGCAAAGTACATGGAGATGTGGAATTGGCTAGACTTGCCAGCCAACAGCTTCTTGAGATGGAGCATGATCATGGGGCTCGTTGTGTGATGCTATCTAATATGCTAACTCTCATGGATAAGCATGATGAAGCTGAATGTGTGAGAAGGGCAATTGATGATGTTGGCATACAGAAGCCACCTGGTTGGAGTTATGTGGAAATGAATGGAGCTCTTCACAAATTTCTGGCAGGTGACAAGTCTCGCCCGGAGGCCAAAGCTATTGAGCTGATGCTCAAGGACATTTATATGGGACTCAAATCTATTGGGCATGTTATCAGTGCATCAAAAATCGTGTTTGATGTAGATTGAGAATGTGTTTAGCTAAAGAGTTCAATTAATTCTTTATTCATTAAATTTATCTAAAGAGATCTTATATCATAGGCTTAATTGTGAAATTTGGTGAAATAAGTAAAAAAAAATGGGTTTATTTTGACAAGTTTTTGTAAATGCTCTAATTTGGGTTGAGAGCTTCTCGTCTTGACCAAATTCGGTTGTTATAGACTAAATCGAGCTCTCAATGCCTCTCATAAACCTATTTACCAAATGTAAGATCATTACAAGGATCTCTCCAAGATATTGATCTTTGACAATTTTGATGATTAATCCAAAATTAAAATAGATATTGATGTGAACTTTGATATTATAAATTTGAATTTCATTCTTAAAAAATTATGCAACCATAAGTGTCGTGTTTCATGAGTTATAAGCTTCTATATCAAATTAAATAATTTTTCTTCTTTAGTCAATTATCTAAATAAATGAGATTCTTAATTTCCTTAATTATTTTAATTTGTATTTAATTTTCTTCAACCATCATTTAGTACGATAAAATATTTATAAATCATTCCAATCATATTTTAAGTAAATTTGAAATTTAAAAGTTTAATTTCATAGATCCATTGGAGACATTACGAATCCAAGGCTTCTACTTATACAGTTTTTATATTGTATTATATTTTATTTAAGTTACACCTTTACAAACTTGCCAGAGTATGGTTCAAAGTGGAGCTCTATTCAACTAATCAGGATTCTAGTTGGACATAAAGTTGATCTGGCAGTCTTGTGCATTAATATACATGACTCAAGGAAATGAATCAGTAACTAGTGTGAATATTTTCCCCAATGAAATGTTTGAAAACTAAATAGTGAAAAATGTGGCTCTGAGCTTGTCCGCGTTGTGCATTAAGGTATGAAACAGTATTCAAATTCTGTCTTCATATGTTTCTCCTCTGTCATAATTTACACTGTTACAGAATTCATGACTTGAAGTGAAGTAACTTGAATTCTATCCTAGAAACCAGATTAGATGAAAATTGACATCTCAACTCTGAGTCCATCACTCCTTTTTGCGTATAATATTGAGATGACACATGCATGTATAGTCAAAGGAACTTGAACCTGTCGTTAACAATAGTTTTACTGAAATTGCTCCTGTTTGCATAAATTCTTCATTTAACACTTATAAAAGAGAGGAAAATAAAATAAATTGAGTTTTTTTGATAAGTTAAAATCAAAAGTTCCACCGGGGTAACATCTACTTCATATGGGAAACAAAAAGCATCGATGGGGTGACGAAATCAATTCACAAATTTGAAATCAAAGTCAAGTTTTCATTCAGAGTTCTATTTTGTAAAATAAATCCCGTAGAAGAGAATTATGGTCAACGCTTGTCTCCATGTAGAGTTTAAACTGTGATTCAAATATTTATGTTATTTACAAAAATCTCAGTTGATATTTTCAGCTATGGTTACCCATTAAGCACTATGCAATTTTTGTAATGAATAATCACGTTGAGAAAGACAAGAAAATAAATAGCTTGTAGATTGCTAATATTGGGAAAAGAAAAATAAAACAAAGTACTTTCTCAAAGATCAATGTTTCTTCTACCCGGTGAACAATGCTCCAAAGCTCATGCAGCTACAGAAAAATCTTCAATTTTCCTGTTAGATACAATTTTTTTTTCAATTAAATATGCTGTTAATTTGATTATTTATTTATTCTCACAACAAGAACAAGAACAAGAACAAAAATAACAATAAGTCATTCGAGACACGACAGTGGTTAAAACTAAGGTCCATGAAGACAGTGAACTCAACTTAGTTTTGCCACATTAAGAAAACTAATATACAATGTGAAGAAACTGGTACACGTGTCAAAATCTGGAACATTGCATTAATCAAACGGTGCAAATGTTCCCCTCAACTTCATCTTTCAGTCATAACACAACGCACACTCACTATGTCACTCCTACGCTACGCTCATCCTCACTGTGCTTCCAAATTCCGTTCAACACTGGGCACAACGGCAACCGTTGGGTAACTGTTGCTAAAACCCATTTCTTAATTTACCCATTTCATTTCTCTTTATTGCTTTTAAAAAAATTCATTTTTCCTTTCAATTCTACTAAGCTTCACGGTACCCTTCATGTTTGCATATGAAAGCTAATTTAGTTGTTCTTAAAAATTTGATTTTTAGGGTAATATGGAAGTCACTAGCAGCCACAACAGCAGCAGCATGATGTGGTTTTTCAAAGATAGGGGTTTTGATGACAACACTGCACAAGGAATGTTCCGAAGGTGCAGGCGCCTTGAGAGTGTGCATGAGGAGAGAGCAAGTGAGAATTGGGAGTATTTGAGAAGCATAGGCATTCAAGAAAGGAAACTTCCCTCAATTGTTTCAAAATGCCCCAAAATTCTTGCTTTGGATCTCTATGACAAGATTGTGCCCACAGTTGAGTGTCTCAAAACCCTAGAAACAAAGCCCCATGAGGTTGCTTCTGCAATTGCCAAGTTCCCTCACATTCTCTCAAACAGTGTGGAAGAGAAGCTTTGTCCCCTTTTGGCATTTTTTCAGGCTTTGGGCATCCCTGAAAAGCAAATTGGGAAAATGATACTCTTCAACCCTAGGCTTATCAGCTACAGCATTGAAACTAAGCTGGCAGAATTTGTGGACTTTCTAGCTAGCCTTGGTCTCAGTAAGGATGGAATGATTGGAAAAATTATAGTTAAGGACCCTTGCATTATGGGTTATAGTGTTGACAAACGCCTTCGCCCTACTTCGCAGTTTCTCAAGTCAATAGGTTTGAGTGAAATGGATCTTCAAGCAGTGGCTGTGAACTTCCCAGCAATCTTGAGTAGGGATGTGAACAAGGTTTTGGTGCCGAATTACGCGTATCTGAAGAACAGAGGATTTCAAGACAGACAAATAGTTGCTTTGGTGGTTGGTTTTCCTCCTATCCTGATCAAGAGCATCCAGAATTCGTTGGAGCCGCGGATCAATTTTTTAGTGGATGTAATGGGGAGGCAAGTTGATGAAGTCATTGATTATCCTTGCTTCTTTCGGCATGGCCTGAAGAGAAGAGTAGAACCGCGGTACAAGCTTTTGAAGGAGAGGAATTTAAGTTGTAGCTTGAGTGAAATGTTGGATTGTAATAGGAAGAAGTTCTTCATCAAGTTTGGCTTGTTAGAAGGACATGTCTTGAGTAACTAGATTTCATTCATTCCTATTTAATTTTATTTTATTTTAATGAGTTTCATAGTTAGTTAAATAGTTTGTTAATATTTCTGTCCTCTGATGTGGAGTCCCGCAACTTTCAAAAGATTTTGTGATTCCATATATTCTGATCTTTTGTTTAAGTTCATAATCTTGTTATCTGTTGTAACAAAGATGATAGGTTATCCATTGGATCTATGAAGGTGAGTCACCAGATGAAGCAGCTTTTGTCATAGCTGCAAGGAGCCAAGGACACAAACAAGCATATATTATTGCATTGCATGAATTAAATCATAAAAGTGGAAAAAAGGTTGACAGGTTGGTAAGCTCCTTTTACCATGTTTTTGTCATAGTTATTCATATCTTCCCTATTTTCTGATGCACTCTCATAATTTCAGTGGTCAAAATTGTCGCCTCGGATGTGAGATTATATAATTTTTGTTTCATAGAGTAGCTCAGCTTCTATTGTCAACAACGTTTCATCTGGTTTCTCACTAGAACAAAATTATAATAGGCATTTCAAAGTTATGATTTACTTTTTGTTTCACATCTGCGTATATGTATTCAACTAATTTCATCGTATATGAGACCCATAAAAGAAAAAAAAAAGTACAATCACTGCTTTACTGTATTTTCTTGGATGGTATAAATTATAGTTATGAGGAATTTTTCCTTTTGCAGAATAATCTGTAAAGGGAAAGATTTTTAGAAAGTGTATGTTCTTAAATCTGGTTTTAGGATGAAAAATTGAGGAGAAGAAATTATCTGCTTAAAGCCTTTCATGTCGTGAAAATATGGCCGAATAAGGAGGATAGTAAAGGTCATAAGAATTAATATCTTAAAAAAGAAAAGCAAATAAATGTCAAAAAATTATCAACTAAAAGAAAATCATCTATAAATGTTATATATATGTTTTTATATACAGAAACGCAATTATTCCCCCCTCCCCCGGCCCCCCTCTTGATTTTATCCAATCTTAATTTGTTCCAATTTCCAAAGCAAACTAGAGCTTTATAGAGATCTCCACTTCGCAGTTGGAAGTAACCCCATTAAACTTGGAAGAAAATATGATTCAACTAGTATCGACGTTGGTTGGTTCTCTCACACAAATGCCACATATTTTTGGTAGTTAACCTCCTCTTGCAAGTCCAATGACCAAGGAAGTACTAAAGTGAATGGGAGAATTGATGCATTTTCTTCTGCTTGTTATAATTGAACTCCCACTAGGAGCAGAAAATTATGAGGTCCAACACAGAAGACCCTCTATCAGATGTATATATTCCCATGTTACTCTGCTGTATTCCCATGTTGTTACTCTGTTGCTAGTAGTTTTTTATTTATTTATAAGGAAGTATAACTCATTTCCATCATGTCAATTCTTAATTCTTATAAAGATAAAGTGGTAGGATCACATATCCAAACTAAGAATCTAACTCCATCCACAAGTGTTGAATACTTTATTGCCAGTACCTGTCTAACAGTCTAACTGGAACAACACTACCATTCATGAAAGTTTTCCTAAATTCATAATACTTGAAATTCGAATCGATCAATGTTTATATTTGTGTTCGAGAACACACTCATACGAAGAAACGAATGCATTCCCACATTATCTTTGTAATGTGTTTTTTTCTTCTTACGAACTAGAAAAATAAAAACGCTATTGACCACTAAAAATAACAGCTAAATCTCAACAAGACTGTTCATTAAAAGTGCAATGTCTAAATTTAAATTTATTCATTTTTTTTAATTAAAAATTTTCAAACTCCTAAACTTTATCCTTTTCATAAATGGATGTTTTTAAACTTTTTACCCAATATTCTTAAATTCCACATAAAATATCAATAGCCCCTTTTGTTAGAATAGAAAAACATTACTTGATTCGATTATTTTTTTTTAAAAAAAATTTGATTCTATTACTTTAATTTTCTCAATTTATCAACTAATTTGTTTGGATTAAAATTTGAATCCGATCCAATCCAATCTAAAGTGATTTTAATTGGATTAATTTTTAATTTTGTTTTTGTAACGTAGTAAGTGGATTTCAGAGCTTAGTGAATGCTAGAGAGAAGAGTATATAAGGTTTTCTCTAAGAAGGGAGCCTCATAAGTTCATTCTCAAAGAAAATCTTAGAGAGAAATTTTAGAGAGAAGGACTCTAGGTCTGTGAGCTCCTTTCTTTCCCAAATTTTTTCTGTTTGATACTTTTTCTTCTCTAGATTACTAACTCCTTCTGTCTTTTCTTGGAATTCAGGCTAGGAAGCTTGCTTTTGGAGGATTGAAGTCCGCGGGTCGAGCTTTGGAGGAATTTCTTCTTCTTCTTTGTTCTTGGCTGTTTTGAGTCAATCTTCAAGTGAGGGAAGCTAGAATGTAGGAGTTTGGTTGCATGTGAGTTTAGAAACTCAATTGATGCATGAAGTTTGAGGATCAAGGGTTGAATTGCTCATTTTGGGGTTTTGGGAAAAATAGGGTTTTTGGGTGATTTTGATGCATCGGGTGGGTGCATGTTGAATCTGAGAGCGTTTTTGAATTGTGTAAAGTCTATGTATTTCATTTCTTAGATTGCATGTGGTTGGATTTCCTGATTTTCAGGTATTTGAGGCAAAATTATGGGTTTTTGGGGCTATTATATGAATTTATGCCGGGTGCATGTTCTTGGTGCCAGACGTACATTCATCAGAGCTACCATTTCTTGATCACGCCGGGTGCGAGGTTAGTTGCGCCGAGCGCGATTGAAAATGGGAGTCTCTGGATGAGTTCACGCCGGGCGTGAGGAGAACCACGCCAGACGCGATATCAGATAGGGGCTTGGATGGTGTTTTACTGATATGGCACCGGGCGTAGGGTAGGTGGGCCGGGCGTGGAGACCTTAGGAAGTCTTTTTCTGGATGGCACCAAGCGTAGGGTGAGTGCGCCAGGCATGGAGACTCCTATGAGTTTTTGTCTCAAGGATGCCGGGCGTGGGGATTTCACGCTGGGCGTGGATGAGTTTTAGAACACTCGGGTTGGGTTTAGGTCGGGCGTGAGTGGACTGCGCCAGGCATGGAAGAGCTTAGAGCTCTCGGGTTGGATGTTAGGCCGGGTGTGATTTGGCTGCGCCGGGCGTGAGTGTGTTTGATGTTTTTGATTAAAAATGATGCTTATGCATGTTTAAAGTTGAAGATTTGATCATGTATGTATGATATATGATGTATGGTGATGCATGATTCATATGTATGCTTGGTAATGATATGTATGAATGTTGAATGTTTAAATATGATATGACATGTGTATATATTCATATCAGAATGATATTGATCATGATGGTAGATTTGGCCATGTATGATGTATGATGCATTATTGCATGTGATGCCTTATGGCATGAGTCTAGCCTAGGACTTGAGGAGAGGGAAATATTTTCGAACTGGAATAGCTCACATAGAATTTCTTGAGAGTGGTGCTTGGATAGGCCACTGATATAAATGAGAGTGATGCTTAGATAAGCCACTGGTTTTTGGGTGAGAGTGGTGCTTAGATAGGCCACTGGTTTAGGTTAGTCTCCTCTAAGTCCTTAGCTAGTGTTGGAGCGGGGTATGAGGTTGAGGGTTATTCCCTTAACCAAGTACAGGGGAAGGTGCGTGGTTCCTTGCGGATAGTCGGTGGGCGAACTCCACAAGGGACTTGGTAATGCATGCTAAGGTCGTGGTAAGCCTGTATCCAGCTGTGCTATACCTGACGGTGGAACCGGACTTCCAAGTGTGTAAGTGACATCATCCAAGTAAACCCGAGTGAGGATTTATATCCTGATTAGCTGTGACCGAGTGGACGCATTGGGTGTGAAAGCGGTTGGGGTGGTTTCGGTAGGATTGGGATGTCACTTATATGTTAAGTCTGACAAAGCAATTCCCAACAAAGTTTTGAATGAGACAAATATAATACATATTGTTATTTCTAACATGTGTGTTAGTGTTTCAAAAAACCCATAAGTACAGGCAAGTTAAAGAACAGAGCATGTGCTACTTGTTATACTAGAACCAATATAAAGGAAGAGACGAAAAGGTCAAACGAAGCCAAGTCCAGCACAAGAAGAAAAATGATCAAGCTCCAAACGAAGCACATTCATGAATGAGAAGACAACACAAGAAGAAAAATGATCAAGCTCCAGACGAAGCACATTCATGAATGAGAAGAAGTCTATACAGACCATAGAAGAAACTTCTTCGAGTACCAAACGAAGATTAATCAAGGCAAAGCACAACACGAGGAATAGACTAAACAAAGTCAAATGATAGATGAAATACGAAATGAGCGCCAGACGATGATGAATCAAATACCAGACGTAGGTGTGTCAAGCTCAACCTAGAGCGCAACATAAGGACTCAGACGAAGGTTGGTTAAAAATTAGACAAAAGTCAACTACATATCAGACGAAGGACAACATAGACTGAAAAGCATTCCAGACGAAAACAAATTCTGTCCATCTACAATCTTGACCAGACCAAAGAAAGTCAAAGAATTAATGACAAATGCTCAGACGAATATCAAGTCTTAAGATGCACATGGACTACCAGACGTAGACGAAGACTGCCATGCAAGCATTTAAAGAATCAAGTCTCAAGGGACAATTCAGGCATCATCTATAGTCATACAAAAGCTCTCAATATGATCGCGCGATGATAGAAAGTAAATAAAAAGAAGAAAAGCAAGCGCAAAAGTAAAAGCATGCATGTGTCAGAAAAAATACATTACTTTTTTAGATAAAGACAACGTCTCTGCAACTACAAGGACCAAAAAAAGACAAAAAGTTCCTAAGTCTCAATTAAACTCAGACACTACAGCTAACAAAACGTAGAAGACTTCACGCAATGTCTATAAACATGAAGTAACATTTAATGCAAGATCTAATGCATTACATGAAAGATCGAACTAGTTATGAACAACTACATCCTGCTTCAACGGACATTTACAACGGGTAGATTTTACAAAGACTATATATATGTCATAACTTCTGTAACGTAGTCAGAATCCCAGAATAGGCATTCCCAAATTGGAACGGGCCGTTCCAAACTACTAAAATAAGGGTGATTTAGTAGCCTAGAACGGGCCGTTCCCAAACTAGAATGGGCCGTTCCGAACTACTAAATAGGCTTATAAATCCTAGTTGGGAACGAGTCGTTCTGGTTTGAGAACGGGTCGTTCTGCATGTGAATTTTACATATGATGTTTGAGTGCAGAACGGGCCGTTCTAGATTCGAAACGGGTTATTCTGGCCACTCCAGAATTCTATAAATAGGCCACATGAAGAGAAAGAAGGGGAACTTAGAGAGAGGTTTTAGAGAGGACTCTGGGTCTGTGAGCTCCTTTCTTTTCCAAATTTCTATGTATGATTCTTCTTCTCCTCTAGATCACTAATGTCTTCTGTCTTTTCTTGAAATTCAGACTAGGAAGCTTGCTTTGGGTGGATTGAAGTTTTCGGGTTGAACTTCGAAAGGGAATTATACTTTTTCTCAGTTCTTAGCCATTTTTGAGCCAATCTTCAGGTGAGGGAAGC